TACCTCTCCTCTCCTGCCCCACACTAGGTGAAGGTTGTTCTTTTATTGGCAACTCTGCCAGGCTGACACTGGGGGAAAGGCTCAGATAGGAGGGAAATGAAGGAGCACAGGTGCCTGTAATTTTCTCAGGTAGCCTGCTCTTTATTTATTTATTTGTTTGATTGATTGATTGATTGATTGATATAGCCACCCATCTCACATACATGACTCTGGGCAGTTTACAATAAAGTTGATAAAACAAAATACAAATATAAAATAAGAACACATAGCATCCAAGCATCATAAAATAACCACACTCTTCCACTCTAAACAAAGAAGCAAAAAGAGCTGAAGGGAGAGAAGGAAATTCAAAGCATTATCTTCTAATATCTTTTAGCCATCTAGCTGAAGGATTATGAAAGACTGAATGAAAATTAGCAGAGCAGTTGCTCATTCTCAGATTCCATGTGCCAGTCTGAACTGAACAACTCTAGTATGATGTTTGAAAGAATTAAAGTGAGATATTTTTTAACAGACCTCTGTGGGGAAGGATTTCCATGATATGACTCTAAGTCTGCTCTGACAAAAAGACAGAAAGGAAAACAAGGCCTCCTCAATCTGTGAGCTAAAATAATATTAGGCGATGGCCAATAGTATATCCCAGATGTAACTAGCTGCATACAAGCAGGACAGAAGATACAGATTATGCTGGTCTATGGCCATAATAAAGGTTTGATTTGAAGATACAGACAGAATGAGGAATGCTACTGGAACACAATAGTATGTTCACCTCCAGTCTCATCACAACTTCTATACTGAGTCAGTGTTGGAACTGTCCACAACAAACTTTGGACTGGATAATACAAGTAGTTCTGACCAAGGCTGGATAACTCAAGTAGAAATCTGAATGTCAATTCTCAAGCTTTAACCAGACATTTCAGAGCTTTAGTTTCCCTTTCCTCAGAATCTCAGTATAAAGAGGTAAGCCATGGGTTTAGGAAGATTCAGGCATCACTCTAGAGTTGTTTTTTCCATAATATGTTCTTCCAGACACAATATTTCTCTTCTTTTTTCTATAGGAAAACAAGAAAACAGACACCAGTATTCTAATGTTAAAACCCATGTGTGTTTGACTTAGAATTACAGAACCAGAGCTGGAAAGAACCACTTAAACCACTGAGTCCTATTTTCAACGCAATACATCAATCCAAATAAAACACCCCAAACAAATAGATATCTAACCTCTCCCTGAATGCACCAGATAAAGGGGAGCCTACCAACTCTTTCCACTAGTGAAGTGCTTTTACTATTTTTGTCTAATATTTAATTGGAATCTGCCTTCCTGAAACTTGTGTTCATTATTTTGTGTCTTGCACTCTGGAACAATAAAGAACAAATCCTGATCTTCTGTGTGGCACTGGTTCAAGAATACATGAAGAATAACTAATTCTCTTGTGCCTTCCACCATCTTCTGAAGAAAAAAGCTGTCAGCAGGACACGTCCTTGAAGGGTTATGCTTGGCAGAGTTTGTCTCCAAGTAGATGTCAATGTAATTAAAGTCCCGCATCACTATGACAGGGCTCAAGGCAGAATGGTTGGCTGATGGAAGTTAGAGTTCAACTACACTGGGCTTTAAAAGGTCAAGATAAATAATTGTTCCTCTCTGTTGGTCAGAGTATAATGGGAAGACTATATGTTCAATTCTGGGTTCTACACTTTAAACAAGACATTGACAAACTAGAGCATGTACAATTACAGCAATCAAGAATGGTAAGGGGCATGGACAGAAAAATATATCAGGAAGAGTTGGAGGTATTTGGTATGTTTAGCTTGGAGAAGAGAAGACTGAAGGAGTGTCATGTAGAAGATGGGACAGAATTGTTCAAGGTTGTCTTAGATGATAGGATAAGGAACAATGAGCTTCCATGACAAGGAAGCAAATTTCAGGTGAACTTCCCTTTCCCTCCAAAAATCCTAACCATAAGGGCTGTGCAACAGTGGAATAAAGGACCTTCTGTGGAGGTAGTTAAAGAGGAACTGCATAGCCATCTCTTGGAGATCTAAGTAAGAAATTAAATAAGTTTAATATTGTAACCACAGGTCATAACATAGGAATGCCATAAAATACAATCAAATAACAATAAAATAGTGAAATTATAAAATAGAGTAATAGAAGTATTAGATGTAAAGGTTACAACAAAATAAAGCCAAACCTACAGCTAAGAACCTAAGTATTTCTTTCTAAATTTAAAT